CATTCTGACTGTGATTCATCTTTTAGGCCGTTGAAGAAATAGAACTGAGGTTCCGCTGAGGTTCTTGGTGTTCTTTGCAGGAGAAATGTAACGGATATCACTAGGGCATCGTTGCTTCACTTGTAGTTTATCGCTCCTGCCGGAGCAGTTTTAACAGATGGACATAACGTCCCCGAGCACAAACTTTTGTAACTCGTCTGTGCAATGTTATTGATTAAGTCTGCGTTGATTTGTGTAAGCCGTAGTTTCTAATAAAGTTGGAAAAAGTATTGAACTGCAAACTAACTTGTGTTTTAAAAATTGACTAATAATAACAAGAGACTAGTGAAGACAATCAAGTTATATACCTCTGAGCCGATCTGCGGCTGGTAAATGATCGCACTGGTTTGCCTAACGCACGTATTTCTGTTCTTTTTCACTGGCTTAACTATCCTCAAAAACTTCGAGTTAATTAAAATTTTGTGACTTCTGACTCGTTTGTAAATTGAGTTTACTGGTCAGTATCATTCCACTAGTTATGTTCTTTGATAAATAATTCCTTTTTTAAAAAAACTCCTGTAGTCTAACCATTTAAGGGTGACGGAATTCATTTCGGAAATGTGAACATGTTCATATAATATAATATGAGGTAGATGATGGCGTGCGCTTATAAATCTGCACAAATTAACTAACCATCTGTAAGTCAACGTTGGTGTTACTTACGAATGGAAAATGCTTTCAACATTTAGCAGAGTACAGTTAGAAAATCATCATTCATATTTGTCCCCTTTTGCGGGAGTCCACTTCCATGTGAACCACATCCATCTGGCTTCCATCTGGCAGAGTCAACCGTTCCATAACATTTAGCTCCAGTCTCCTTCGTCCAACGTATCGATAGAGTTTATGCATTGAGAAGAACTTGCACGAATTATACACTTAGCTCATCACAACCAGGGAAAAAGAAAATTTAAATTGTTTCTGCCTTCCGTGATTCATTATTCAACAGGATTTTAATTTACAACTTGTATGTAAAAGAAAGAAAAGGGCGGAAAATGCAAATCGTATTAATTTCTACAACAAATGCCTTTTTGATTTCAACAGAAGAATACTCCTTTGCTTCTTTTATTCGAATTCTTTTTCCAAGCTGCGCTTCAAAGTTTCCATTCGATTGAGGTGCCACGCGGGTCCAATAGCGGTTTTGGAAGAATAGCTAAACAACAACAGTTCAAGCGCCATTTTTCAAGCTTGATTAACTTCAAAATAGTCAAAACTGTTTAACGTGAAAGCGGGTTGCGCAAATTAGATCACCCTGACAGACCCCATTTATTGCTAAACGACCTAGATTCTGATTTCCGAGCCGTTTGCCTAACCCGTTCGACCCCAGAATGTTCGGAATTGTTTGTAGCCTTTAAGAGCGAGTAAGTAAGAAACCCAAAAATGACAGATTTCATTCGGTGTTTACAAAATTATAATAATTCTTTATCCTACATAAGCTTAAATTTTGTTTCCTTGACGAAGGGCAAAGGCCAATGGTTTGATGAACTTACAAATCAATGTACTTATCGGGTGATGATACGTGATATCATGCATAAGTTCCAAGGCTATAAGGATACCGCATATATTATGGGGTGTAATTGGGATAATAGAGTGTACCTTTAAGGAAACGTTTCAAGAAATACTCATTAAGGAAACGAATAAATACTTCAGGTTTTTGCCTGTCATCCGAAGGCTTGAGTCAAAAGAGCGAGATCTACAAAGTAAACATTATCGTAGATATCATCTGGGAAACCGTTATTTTATTTTATTTTCAGTATTATTTTGTTTTTGATTATTGAACGCGTTTTCTGTTGCTGAAACTCTATAACTAGTTTGAATCAACAGGAGGCGCTTGAGGTATTAGGAAAGATCCCAGACGTTATATGCTAAGAATTCATCTAATGCACCAAACCCTAAACCGAGCTAACTTGACAGAAAGCAGACGAGGGAAGTTTCCGCGCCAATTCAAAAACCATTTTTCCAAAATGTGTACCTTTTAAGCGCGATTGAAATTAGCTCTAATGGAGTGAAAAGAGTTAATTAATTTTATTTTTATTCGGTTCAGCTACGTTCAAAAGAGTTCTTTGAATTGTTTCTTTTCAGTACGAATTTAATATAATAGACTGATTAGAAATATCTTGATGAATCACCCATAACATTACTATAACCTTATGATTACTACCCAATTATTGTTAGTTTTGAAGAGCGCAAACAAGCTAGTGAAAATGTTATTGCGATAAGAGAGCGTTTATTGAAGAGAACTTATGAGTATTACACCAGAGAAATCACTATCGGAGATATCTATCTTTCTTTTTTTCTTTTCCTGTCGAAAGAAAAGTGATAGTACGAGATAGACAGGCACGCAAACCAAGAGTAAAAATCGCGGGCTATGCAAATTTATTCTTTAATCTGTTTACGGTCCAGCGATTATGAACAGAAGACTTGAGTTTTTTTTTTTTTTTTCTTTAACCGCCAGAAATATAACAAGTGCCAAGCCTGGTAAACGATTCAATTTCGCTTGGTTGGTTCAACCAGAGCACTAAGGCTGACTCGGTTGTATTTGATATTTCTAGAATATTTGGGAGAAAAGGAAAACAAGTTATTAAAGCAGTGACCTCAAATACAAGGCTTTCGGTAAGATGAAGTCTGTGTATGTGATTACTTTTGTTTTTCTTATCGCTCTCTGCAACGGCGCAAAGTTTCCATTCCGACAGAGGGACCGAGGTAAGAACTGTCTCATGTACTTGTAACTAATTGGTCAGATATAATTATATTCGACGCTGTTAAGGAAACACTAAGTTAATTTTTTTTTCTGAGAAGGTCCAACTTTACTAGCTGTAAACCAAAGCTAGAATTAGGAAGTTTTTTTCTTCTAGATCATTGACGGCCGTTGGCGGGATAAAATTGTGTTTGCGCTAGAGCCTTCTTTTTCCCACCGAATAAATTAATTTTTTGAAATCAAAAGCTCCATCAACTCTTCATTCAAACGCTTTCCCGAAATAAACGACAGTCATTCAACTTCGGACTGGAAAACGTGAAAAATAAGCTGAAAATAACAGCGATTCAGAATCTTATCACTGAAATTCTTTTAATCAAGGAGTCTTAACTGACTGAATGGATCGCTCTCAGCGGTTTCTGAAGAGCAATATTTAATTTGGTTGTAATTAATGTACACATCGGGTCGCTCAGTCACGTCTCAACAAGGTGAGTCAGCTTACACAGGCATTTCTTTTTCACGCAGGTGGCGCTGATGTCAAAGAATACGATGAAGAAGTGAACGCGATGATGGAATTGACAATGCCAGTTCCCGTAACAGACGAACCAGAAGAAGGTTAGATATTCAATCATTTATAGGTTCGAGTTTTACATTTTCTACCCAAATTTACGACTTAACTTACCACACTCAAATCATTTTGCTATCTTAGGTGAATTTTCCTCTTTTTTTAATAGCGCTTTTTAGTTTGAGAAATTTTCGAGTATATAGAATGCATCCGAGCGAGTTCCACGATCCTGGCAGTATATGGTGCGCTGTTCCGTGACAAATTTACATAGCCCCATCTACCGCAGATCCCTCGTAGTTTTGCGGCTAAGCATGCTATCATTGTGAGAAAAGTTAACGATCTTCTTCGCGGAGATTCATTTCTTGTTCCACTTTGGATACTTTTAAAATTAATTAATTGATGCTTTCTCTGCGTTTTATTCAGAATCATCGGAAGGTGAAATCTATAGTTCCAGTTACTGTTAACTGAGGATCTATATAGCTAAACCAAGCCTTGCTAACCAGAAATCCATGATCTACCCACTGCAGATTCATCTCTTCTGATTGGAGACAGAAGAATCAAACACTTTTGAAAAATAATAGTAATGATCTATATGCGTTTTATTTAGAGCCATCAGAGGGTAAAATCCCAGTTGAGGAGGCCATAATTCCAGTTACTGCAAACTATCTTGGTTCCGAATCCAACCCAGGTAAGATCGCGACTCTAAACGCTTGACTGTTTATTGTCTGTATTACTAAGTCGAGCCTTTCCAACAAGTAAGCAGTGATTTACCACCGTGGAGACTTATCTCTTGTCCCTCGTTTGAGACTGGTAAATTAAACACTTTTGAAAAATATAGTATTAATTTTTTCTATGCGTTTTATTTAGAGTCATCCGAAGGTGAGATCGTAGTTGAGGAGACCATTGCTCCTGTGATAATGACTGCTAACCCTAATGGCGCTGAATCCAACCCAGGTAAAAAAATGGCGACTGCAAACAACTGTATGTTATGGTCTGTATAACTAAATCGAGCCTTTCTAACCAGTAATCAGTAATCAAATAAAAAAATAGTGCGAAATATTTCAATACATGGTTCATATCGTGAAGGCCACATAAGTTTCGCTTTGCTAAAGTTTTCTGGTTTATTTACTGACATATTTTTTTAAAAAAGGAGAAATCAAGTAAAATGCTTTACCAGAGGGTCTCGATGGTGTTAACCGTTAGCCGTTAAATGAGCAAAAACGTAAGCCATCAGGTGTTAAAGCTTAAGCTGTGTGAGAGGTGTTAGAGGTGTTAGAGGTGTTAGAGGTGTGAGAGGTGTTAAGGTGTTAGAGCTTAAGCCATTAGGTGTTAAAATTGATAAATTTAACTGTCAGTCGTAAAAAAGTTAACTGCAAACATTTTTAATTTAGTCACAAAGAAGGAATTTAACCGTTAGCCTTAAAATGGCCAAAATTTATAACAGTTAATCTTAAAAGCCATCACCCCATTGAAACTCTCCTACCAGCTTTTTATATTCGATACGGCAAACAGTGGCGGATCCAGACCTTGAGCTAAGGGGGGAGGGGTGGGGGTGGCTTTTGTGAGTGTGTGTGTGTGTGTGTGTGTGCGTGTGTGTGCGTGTGTGTGCGTGTGTGTGCGTGTGTGTGCGTGTGTGCGCGTGTGTGCGCGTGTGTGTGCGTGTGTGTGTGCGTGCGTGCGTGTGCGTGCGTGTGTGAGTGTGTGTGAGTGTGTGTGTGTGTGTGTGTGTGCGTGTGCACATGCCTGCTTTTCTTCCTCCTGCTCTAATTTTCTTAGTGTAGAGGGGGGGGGGGCCTCCCCAAGATCTGCTACTGGTAACTGCATAGAAATCTCTTATTATGTAATGGTAAAGTGCAGATGAAAACGGTATTGGATATTTTCTTCTGATTAGCGTGCGGGTTCTGTCGTGGTATGTTTGGAGGCTGTTATTGTGAAGACGTGGAATGGTGCCGAGAAATACCGTGTGAAGTAAAGCAGGAGTGTGATGAAAAATGTAAGTTATATCAAATCAACGCCTCAATTAGCGGCCACCTCCCATTAAACAAAGTCGTAAAGTCACCTTACTTCTTGCGTTAAAGAGAGATTTAAACAATAATAGAATGATTATTTCGCAAAGGCCTTTAATTTTTGTTCTTAAGCGAATTTAGAATCAGGGTCTTTGGTTAGACCCACCTTCCAACAGTTAAATATAATACTTATACCTCGGCTGTTGCTTGGATCTTTTGATACGAAATAAATGCATGTTGCGTGAGGTATCTGTGGGTTCTTTCCAGATCCTCCTTATCCCATTACTCTTCTTAGAAAATCAGTTCAGTTTTAAGGCAAGAATTAGAAAGGGGATGAAAATAAGGATATAAAATTGATCAACTAGTTAGGATATATCAGAGCTGTGATACAACACAAGGTAGGAGTGAGGGAGCTTGTGACCGGTGCCAGGTATCGTTGCTTTAGCGTTTATCCGTTAAAAGGGTAAAAGCTAATGGATAATTAAGGATTATTCAGAAGTGCAAGTCGCTCTACTTTTTTCCCTGGGCTCTAACGGCTAATTAGTTCTACCTTAACGAATAGCTATGCCGGGTTCTCTGCCGCTTGCGCAATCTGATCTAATTGCAGAAAGGTCTGAGCTTTTAGTAGATTCAAAGGAGAAAAAACTGACGAATGTTGTGAAAGCGTGAAAATACTAGCCTGACGGTTACTAGAAAGTGTTCCAAGGTGGAGTTAAACAATAACGTTTATGTATATAAGAATTAATTTGATGGCCTGCTCCCAGTTGGCTTGTTAGCTCAATTGGTAGAGCGCTGCACTAGTATCGCAGAGGTCAGTGGTTCGAATCCCGTACAGGCCTGAAATTTTTTTTTTTTTTTCAGGTCTGATTTCCACTATTGCTTAAATAGTGCTTTACTGCGAAGGATCGTTCTTATATACGTCTCATAACCGCAGTTCACTCATATGTTTAATAACGTTTATCTAGAGGATCTCTGACGAACGACTTAAGGATGTTTAACGCTACCGGCCGTTAACGGAAACTTTTCGTTAAATGGCTGAGCGTTAACATGAGGAGTAAAATCCCATGCGCAGGCACATTTTTTTCTATTTGAATGCAGATGTAGTCATATGATCGAGGTAGAGATAGTTAAGGCGTTTCTTTTAATTTTTTTTTTTTAACAAAAAAATGTTTCTTCTTTTTTTTCGTTTCAGGTCCCATGGAGTGAAAATTTCAAGCTCAAGGGTTTTTTTTTTTCTACTTTAGTAGATAGATGCAGGTGAAACCAAAACAAATTTCGTGGTCACTTCTTTGATTTAAAATGCCCATTTCGAAAAGTACGGTCATTGCTAAAGCTGGGGGTTTCAAATAGGCCATCATGTGGCTCTTTCTGAGAGTTGATTTCAATGAAATATGACTCACAATTTCTGCATTGAAAAGTGGGTAGTGCATGTTATTAGAGGGTTGAGAAATAAAGTTGACACTAAAAAAGTAGTTTACTGATTAATCAATAAAATTGCATTGCCTATGTGTTAAGTATCGCAGTAACCCACGTGGGATATCGGGAGAACACGAGAAAAGATGTAGATCACAACGCTAAGGAGGAAAGAGATTGCCAAACTTATGGAGTTATTGCTGTTGTTCCACGACTGGGTAAAAATATTGCAATTTGGTCACCGTTTGTCGCGCCAATTAAAAGAAGTTTCGAAAAGTATTTTCCAATGCACTCTTGATCATATGCCATATTAAAGCTCGCATTATGTCAGTCAAGAGGAGGAGGGTTAAGAACTCCATCCTGAATTAGATCCCGCTCAACGAAAGAAAAACGACAGTCACTACAAAAACAACAACAATCATTAAGATATATCCAAGAGAAAACGAAAAATAAGCTCACAATTAGTCCAAGGAAAACCAACGGAGGAAAAAAGGATGCTGGTGGACAAAAAAAACTCTCAACCAAACAATTTAAATTGTCGAAGTAAAGTCAAACTAAAGAAGACAGGGCATCCCACCCTCCCCCTATTTCCATTACTTCCTCCGACACTTCCGCTCCAGGACGAGATCCAAGTTTTCAGTGTGTTTGAAAGTCACTATGAAAGAATAACAAAGGCACTGAAATACATCAATGACCCAAAACACTCAATACAAGCACGTACTGCTCACGCTTCTCCCGCCTAGAAAAACGACAACTGGAAGGTCTACTGTCCAGGTTCCTTTGAGTCCTATAAAATGTTCTCGGAGAGCGGACGTTACTCGAGTAAATTAATTCAAAACGTTTGGCCACCTGCCTCGCTAAAGGGTTTGAAGCGTTGGGCGTTGGAGCTGCGAGAGATCTGAAACCGAAAAAATCAGAAGCTCCTCTGCTTCGTCGTTGTCGTGAGCCCAGTTCCAGCCGTGGTTGTTTCAGTGCAGTATTCTTCACCTGACGATAATCATTGAATTTGAACGCGTCCACGCCTAGTTGTAAACTTGCCATGGATGTGCGTCTGTGCTTTAATCCTTTAGTCCTTATGCTGCCCGCGTGCATGCAGGCAAAAGCGTGGCGATACAATATTGTTGTGCTGTTTTCTGTTCGAGTAACTGATTCCATTAGTTTTCAATGAACCTCCTGACGAACATCTCATAATATTGTCTTTAATAAGCCATGCCTCGTTGTCATTTAGTCTAACTAGAAACCAAGTTTTGTAGTGAAACTACATCTAATGTAAGTAGACTAAAATAACACGAGAGTAAAAGGGAAATAATTGTTATTAAACAGCACACCAATTCCTCTTGGGGTACTTCTTATCTGGGACCTTGCTGTCACGTGATTCATTGCGCATTTGTAGTTGCTACTAAGGCATTACATAAAAACAGAGATTAAGAGTTGTATGAATCTTTTACTCGTAAGATACAAAATGCTTTAATCAGCTAGTTTTCAAAAGAACTGCTCATAAGCTTCGAAATTCTTCAGGATTTCTAGCCAAGCGCATGCATATTTCTCCAACAACATGGAAAGTTAGGCCTCTTTACGCTATTACGTCTATTTCGAAGCCTCTTTTTTTCAGCAAAGAATGTTTTAATTGTTATATATCGTTCAGTCGCAGTCGAAGCAGCAGTCGAGGCAACACCATCGGCATTTGCACTTAAAAACACTTGGTTTCTTGACCAACACAATGCATATCAAGACTATGAGAAAAACGCCCCCTCCTATCACACCTACGGTGGCAGCAATACTGCAAAAAAAATAAAATAAAATAAATAAATAAATAAATAATAAGGAAATCAAAATAAAGCATTTCCCCGTCACCGAGTAAAGGCACAGACAATATACAGAAAAACTGTTATTAGAAGAAGAATTCTCGATAATGAAATAGCGCTATGTTTTTTTTTCGTCTCGTCACACGGGTAGGACAAAGAAACTATTCTGTCTTTCCGTGAGGGGTCAAATCTTAGTAGACCTTCGGATTCCGTCCGCGCTTCGATGCTCTACATAAACTCTATGGTGAGCTAAGCTAATTCCGTGTTAATATGTGACACGGGTCCTGCATAATCTAGGGACTAGTTATTTCTTTCCTAAACATCAACATCTTTCTCTAAAACTTATTCTGTTTCTAGAAACGACTGATTTTCAATAATATGAAAGGACCAGTTTTAAATATCAGCTGCGCAAGGCTACTAAATCTTAGAACAATTGTCTAAAAATTCAAATTCAAATCTCGTGGTGCATACTTTTGAGTTCCTAGTCTGGCCTCTGAATAATACAGAGACTTATTTTTAGGTTACTATACTGATTCAACCCATTCGTCATGTTGTGTTTTCCTAAAGAAAATACTTAAAAGGTATCACAAAAGCATATGGAAGATAAAACAGGCTTAAAGCGAGCTGACCCATTGCAGATAACTTGTGAGTGAGCTTTGGAAGAGGATCTCACTTTAGCATGATGCAGTTAAATCTGAAATTACCATGACAAAAACAGACATTGGGTAGCTGCTGAGCTTCATTAGACAGAAAGTTAGAAGAACGTGATCTTAAACGAGCCTTCCTCAAGGTTCAACGCTTAAATCTCAAGATTAACCCACAACAACAACAGAGCTAACAGTATGATCCATACCAGCCGATTGCGCTAATGTTCCATCCAAACGCGGTGTTGCAATACATCCCAGTTTCTAATTTAGGAAAATAAATAAAAAGGGAGGAAGCAGTAAATGATTTATGGAATTATTGGATTCAAAAATGGACTATCCTCCATAACTTATTACGCAGAGGATATTGAAGTGATAGGCTGATTTGGATTGTGTACTCGGATCATTCAAATGAGGATAGTGCTGAGACGGACTGCTGTCAGTAACAGTGACTGACAATTCGACAACCTGTCATCATCAGAGTCTAGAGGATATTGTTTTTGTTCGTCGAGTGTAAAATATCTGGTTGGTGAGAACTGATTGGTTAGTTTAGATGTAATGTTATGGTTGTAAGACTTCAGTGATGGAGACGATTGCATAGGTTCGGTAGTTGTTGAAATCTGTGGAAGGAAGTCTATTTTAAGTTAGTATACCAGTTTTCCAATCCTAGTGTTAAACAAATTAGTATTGCACTTAGCCACAACTTTTGATTAACAGCGCTTTCAACGTTAAGGATATCCTACTCGGAAACTTACTGACTGCTTTATAAGTCGCATGGAATCCTTTCCGACTTGTTCTGGAGTCAGCCTCAAACTCCACCCACATGTACCGTCCGGTAGATATCAACGTGGGTGGTTTGTCGTCTCCACAAAACTCGTCCAACTCAGATGCACTCTTATCCTTTCCGTCTCTGACTTCAACATGATCACAAGTGCATATTGATGATATGAAGCAGTCCTCCAGTTCAAAATCGTCAAAAGTAAGTTCAACAAGGTGATTTTCAGGAACTTCGATGACCCACGTGCAGGTCACACTGTTTGGGTATTGCTTTGGATACCCAGGACTTGAGAAGTTTCCCACTTTCCCTTCCAATAAACCATTGTTTGGGCAGTCGCTGTTTGCTAAAAAATTACAAAATCAAAAGAATTAGTTTTATTCTAAACAAATTCTTCTGGTCAAATCTGTATTTTTAAGAAATACCTTGGATTCTTATTTTCCCTTTATCCTACATGTTTTCGAGCTGATGGTCGAATTTTTCGCGTGGAACGAAAAAGTCTCAAAGAAAAGGAAAACAAGCGGGAAATAACAATTATGCAAATTATTTCTTATTTTTTTATGAGTTCTATTTTATTCCCAAGTACTTACAAACTGCTACAAAGGAGGCTGTAAATCCTTTTTCATTTGTCTTTGAGTCACTGTCGAACTCCACCCACATATATCGACCAGAGGATTGTAGTGGAGCCGGTTTCTCGTTTCCGCAATGCTTCTTTATTGAGGGTGAATTTTCTGTTTGGCCATCTCTCACCTCAACGTGGTCACAAGTGCAAATCGCTGAAATGGCGCAATCCTCCAGTTCAAATGTATTGAATGTTAGTTGAACTTGATAGCCTTCAGGAACCTCTATAATCCACGTACATGTAACACTGTCTGGGTAGTTCAATGGATATTCTGGACTAGAGAAACTACCATTTGTCCCTTGCAGCACCCCTCTTGTTGGACATTCATCCACGGCTAAAAGGAAATAAAGCGACAGGGTGAAAATATTGGGCAGGAATAGTTTCATGAATTTCGGGGCATGGACAAATCTGGAGGGTACAGAAAAAGAGGGGGATAAGAATGTAGACAGATAATGGTCACAGCATAGAAATGGTGTCGTTTTAGAATCCATACAAAACAGCAACAGATAGGGGATAAGAACCATCAGAGGTGAAGCAAAGCTAACACACAGCGAGGTGAGACTCAATTTGTGCTGAGCTTTCCGTGTTTCCGCGGCAAAACCTAGCGCATGCGTATACGTTATTTAGCTCTGTCTCCTTAATCGCACATTACAGTAATGAGAATAAAGGAAATGATCACTGACTGAAGAAACTCTTGATTGTCAAATGAATTATCGTTGTCAACACCTTATGAATGTGTAGAGAATGGTTTGGAGAATATGTAGGGTGTAAAGAGGTTGGGGAAAATGTAACACTGCTGGTGAAAAACATTTTAAAATGAGAACAATTCTCATTCCATTTTTACGTAGGTGGAATAAATTTTACAGGTCCTATCTTAACTGCTGCACCGGGTATCTATAGGGAGTTACTGAAGCCTTCTCATTTTATTTCCAGCACTGTTCGGGAATGATCGCTAATAAGTTTTTTTATTCCATAAAATGGTCACCATATAAGAACTCCATAGTCCCACAATCCTTGTAAATGTGAAGTAATATAAAATAACTGACAGTGACTGAAAGTCGCCCCAATTCTGATTCCTGGGCGATTTTGGCGTACTGGTGTACCCTCCTTCAGGCGTTACTCGGCGGAACCATTGCACTCCGGTTCCGTTAAGTATATATGTCGTCCGGCCGTTGCAGCACTGACCATTGCACTATAGGGTCCGTGGCCGGGGGCGCCTGAAAAACAAAAAAAATTCTGAGTAATATTACGTCCAGTTAAGCTGGAAAGGGGTTGGCTGTTGTAGAAAAATGATATCATTAAAATTTCGTATGTAAGTATAATTACAGTCGATAAGAAAATTCTTTGTATGAACTTTTTTTTTCATTAAGAAACACTTGGAAGTGCACTTTTTAATCTTTATATTTTTTTCTTTTGCCGTCTTGCTAGACAATATTTTTATCTTTTTCCACGATTTTAATTTCCTTACTACAATTTCTGCGACCTTTGCCCATCGCCCCGATACAAACTGGTAGTGGTCTATGCAATGTTTTTAAGTTAGCCACCGAAATGTTTAGAATACGTACGTCAACGTAGTATACTTACGAACACCATTGAAGGTCGCAGAAAATCCTTGCCCTCTTGTTAAAGAGTCACTTTCAAACTCCACCCAAAGAGTTTGACCTGATGATCGCAATATGATCGGTAAATGGTCTCCACAAAGCTTGGCTAAAGACTGGGAATTTTCATCGCGGCCATCTCTCACTTGGACATGGTCACATGTGCACACGGAAGGGACTGTACAAGTCTCCAGTCGAAATGAATCAAATCTCAGTCGTACCTGAAAGCCTTCAGGAACCTGTATTATCCACGTGCACTTTACACTGTTTGGGTAGCGTGAAGGATAACGTGGGGTGGATAAGCTGCCATTGGTGCCACTTAATATTTTACCCCTCGGGCATTCATTCGCATCTGAAAGGAACCAAAAATAACAATATATAACAAAGATAAGCGTGAAAGGGAAAAATTACATATGATGAAGTTGATCTTTAAACAAATGTAGATCCTAATCTTTTTTTTTCGTCTCGATGCTGATGGTTGCTGTGTTATGCTGTATGCCTTTCACATAGGAAACTAAAACATTGGTATATCTGTCTGTCTACGATTTCTTACTGGCTTAGCAAAAGACCATTAAACCTCTCATAAGCAGTTGAAGGATTGATTTTTCTCAGGGCCCAGATCACTTTACCTCTTCCACAATAACGATGTAGGAATTTTTTATTTCTTTATGAATAAATATATATAATTGTGCACAGAGATAGTGAAGAAAAGCCCACTTCTAGAAAGCAATTTATTTAAATTCTTCATATGCTACTTCATCTTTACTGAAGATAAATCAAACTGAGAATCAAGTGGAAACTTGAAATTTACATACCAACAGCTGTGTAGGTAGCCGAGAAACCTTGCGCGTTACTAAAGAGATCTGAATCAAACTCCACCCACAGGAATCTTCCAGATGACATAATTGCACCGGGATTTTCTTCTCCACAATATGTTGCCAATTTCGGAGAATTGCCATTTGGTCCATCTCGTATCTCCACATGGTCGCAGCTGCAGATTGGTGAAGGAATTGCACACTTTTCCATTACAAACACGTCGAAACTCAAGTGCACAGCGTGCTCTTGGGGAACTTCTATTATCCACCTGCAAGTCTCTCTGTTTGGGTAGCTTGATGGATAATTGGGGCTGGTGAAACTTCCCATTGTACCATTGAGCGTGATACCAGCCTCACTACATTGTCCTCTTACCGAGGAAAACAGGGTAAAAGCTTGAAGAGAAAACAGTGATACTTGCCTAAATATTTTCCGTTGATGAGCTGCCTTTTGATACAAAAATTCAAGATTCACATTCACAACGTTCAGTGGTATAAGGGTAACTTGTTTTCCTCTACCCTTTAAAAACTTGAACAAACTTGATTGCGGTAAATTGCATTCGAGTCAAGTGTTTACGCGATGTAGAGTCGGATTTGAGCTTAGATAAGTGCTAGTAGTTTGACGGACGTGGTCAAAACAGTGGAAATGATGCAAATTTCAAACACCTTGATCTTTTCTAAACTTGAGTACTTAACTTAGCTGTTAAACTATATAGCAAACATGAATATATTCATCTGCATTCGATTTTCGAGGCAACGTAAACAGATGATAAACCAGCTATCCTATATTGTTATGCATCGGTTAAAATCCGAACTGGAAAGAGGTAATCAGAGTTCAACACCAAAGAACAGAAAAAGACATCCTGTGAGTTGCAAGATAGAGAACCTGAATGAGCCAAGCACCAACAGATTACAAGAAAAGCACCCAGTCCGGTAGTCACGCTTTCTCCTTTAGTAAAGTAGTCGTAGGATCACTGACTTGGACGCCTAGCCATTTCTTTCGGATTCTATATTTACAGCTGGGTGTATCTTTCAGTACCTACCTTACAATTTTTTAGATTTTTTGTTGATTACATACATTCAGAAAATAAATTAAACCAAGATATGCAGATATACAGAAGTTAAGTCGGTTTGAAAACAAAGTACTTGGACGGTGGTAAACAAGTCAGACCATACACAACGCCCATTGTAACACAAAATATTTGTCAAGACTGTTACCATGACAACCTAAGAAAAATATTTACTGATTGCATTCCAAGTAGCCCACCGCTTGGTAGAAGTTCAAAGCTTTAAAAGTCAAAGAGTAACCCATAACTTCTGTCTAACTGAATAAAAAATGGAACCTGCCGCTTAAGGTGGCCTTTGGTGTTTTTGCTTACTTCCTCTTGCGGATCATGAGTTGCTGTTTTCTTACATGAATACGTTCTTTTCTTACATTGTGAGCGTTTATGAATTCATTACGTAAAAGTAAGATAGCATGCAAGTATTGCTTAAAAATTTGCCAACTGATTCGCCATGGAGCTTCCATTGAAATATAAATCAACCTACACAGAACAACGCATGTTTCCAGATGTGGTCGAAATATCTTTTTGGGACAAATGAGCAGAGAACTTTGAAGAAATGTTGTACTTCAATAAGTTTAGGATCGTACTAGAACTTCAAAGCTCAGACCAGAACTGTTCAACTGAGAAGTGCACCTCACGAGCTCTCGCCCCATTCACTATCCCCTCGCTATGATAAAGAATTACTTACCGGAGAAAATGTTAATCACAGCGATGTAGCAGAGCTTTCTCGACGCCATTCTGTATGATACGTGAAGTGTAGTGTTGCGCTTCCTTGAAAAAATTGTTTAAGGAAGTTTTTGTCAGTTACTTATTCACTCCTCGGTAAAATATATTGACGTAAATCGCTCATTTAGTTTTCCCACAGAACACTTGGTATTGACTCTTTGTTTTGAGTGTTTTTGGCGGAAAGATATTGAAAAGTCATAGGGTAAAGTTCGATGGGTTACAAGTTCCCGTGAAAAAAAAAATTCAAAAAGTTTGTCATCGATTGTAACAAATCTGACATCCTCTAATTCAGAGATGGAAAACTTGCCCTGAGTTGTAGAACTAGGGTATTTTGACGTAGTTGGTCAACAGCGGTTACTAACAGCGACTTACTTCACATTTCATTAACTTTGATTCTAAAAAGGGAAATTAATTAAACTGCAAGTTAATAGAACAATATCATCAGCGTTAGGAACTGAAAACGTTTAACGTTTATCACTGCAATTTGAAAAAAGATGAAGGAATAACTGGAGGAAAGAAACTAAAAGGACTCCTCTAACAATAGTTAGGGCTGTTCTTCTTGTGAAATCGTGTCAGAGTCATTTTAAGTTATTGGTAATATTTTTTAAAATTCGGTTCTTAAGCAAATGTGGCTAGCAACTACCTCGGTATAAACTCGCCGCAGTATTTTCAGTTGGTGCTGATCGATCTATAAAATGTGTACTGTATCTGCAAATAAAAAATACACGACAGACAGAGAAACTCATATGATAAGGATTTCTTGTTTATTATTACGGTTTATTACATCCCTCGCAGTGCCCGTGGGCCAGATGGGGCGAATCCTATGTTCTGATTTGCTACCCGAGCGGGAAAAATGGGCCCATCTTGCCCGCTCGGTATTGCTCGCATTGATCCCGTGCATGAAAAAATTGAATTGGATATAAGTTTGTGATTCTTGGACAATTTCGGCGATGGAAACGAAAAACGTGGCAGAAGATAGTGAAAAAGAAAAAAAAAAAGAAAAAAGGAGACAGAAACGACTCTCGTGAGTTTGTTGCATAAATATGCTAAAAAAGAACTCGGCCAATATCCAGCCCTCTTGACCTCGAGCTAATAACGCATATATATGAAATCAGAGATCTTTCAAACGGATACTATATATCGACGCCACTCGCAAAAAATTAGCTTGCAAACCATGTACAAAAAGTAACGTGGGATCCAACACATCTTTCAAGTTTGCAATTTGGAGCGCGTTGAAACAAAAATCCTGCTATTTTTCCCGGCGAGTGAAGAGCTAAGTGTGGTAAGTAAACATTTCTGAAACATCCAGGTCCTATATTTCGGCTGAAACGAGGTCACAGTTCAAGCATGTTATTTAAAAGACAGATTAATTCCTTGTTTGAATATATTGGTTGATTCACTGCTCCTAAACAGTAAACAGTTCTTGTTGTCGTCGTTCGAACAATTTTATCCTATTTTTAAATTGAAAGAGTATTCTTTGGTTTGTTGCCTTGACACTAAACCAACCAAATTTTGTGCGGTTTGTAAAGACCTGCAAATCATACCTTTAGGCTAAAAGAAACGTCAATATTTTAGCTTGCCGAGTTACGAAAGCATCAAAATGGAAGTAACACTCTAAAAAGGAACGAAGAAGTTTATGGACAAAGAAGGAAAAACGTATTGTGTATATATCTGATTCTTCGGTATTAACTTTATTCAGTTAAGCAAATTTATTTACCAAATGAGATATAACAATTTTCATTAGAAAGATACTTATTATCTGAAATGGTATGAATATTCTTTGAATGTCAGCTATACATATGACTATAAATGTTTGGAAAAACTGGCGATAACTTTACATTCAGAGTGGGATATTTCAACAGTTATAATTTCGGGAGATGTTTCTTGCATTGGTTTTTCTTCGTAGCTGCAAGCTATATACATTCTAACAACGTTCATTTACAACTGGCATTAACATACTTTAATTTTTTCATGTCAGTCATGTGATTGCAGCAACTTAATTTATCCCTAACTTTTAGTCTTGGTTTGGTGCTCTCCTGACATGTTGTTCTGAGAGGGCGCGTTCCTTATTGGCTGGCAAGGGGCGATTTCTCAGGCTTTTAATTCGTATCCAACAATTTACGGCATCATAATGTAAGGAAATAATACATGGAGTTTACTCATGAGCATGTAACCTCAACGTAAGGCCTCGGCGTACAATTTCAAGTTTCTTTTGGTTTCGTTCTGAAACCAGGAGCAAAAGATACTGTGTAACTCAAGTTCGTGGAGATTGATTTTCCTTGTGCTCACACTGCCACACGCTCTCTCTCGTCCTCGTCCGGTTTTTTCAGTACCTGGGTGTCCTTTCTCCTATGGTGTTTTCGGACCAAGTAAATCGTCAACATGATCACAAGGATGGCTACGAAGAGGACTAGCACTCCAACTACGATGACAATCATCGAATCTTTCTTCTCTACGGAGGCTTTCGGGAGCGCATCTAATTAAATTGTACAATTAACAAGCAGTAATATAAGGTAAATATCATTTATCATACGGTCATATAGTTGATCAAAACTTCGGAATAAGCGGGAAGAGTTAAGAAGGATCTATAGAGGTAAGACCTATAAAAGAGACTTAAATACTTGCTCAGGACCGTACTGGAAGAATATCGGCCCTCGGTCTTTTTTGTACGGACCTCGCTGCGCTCGGTCCGTACTGTCAAGACCTCGGGCCGATATTCTCCCAGTACGGCCCTCGCGCTAGGTTAATAAGATATATATAGCGACTACAAACAGAATTATAATAGTAATATGCTGTTTAACGGCACCTTTTGTACAAGAAGGAAGTGTTCCATTCAGCAATCCGTTTGACCCGCAGTTTATTATTTTGGAGCCGGACAAAGTGTATCCAGAGTTGCATTGGACGCTAAGTTGGCCTCCGATCCCGACTGTAACTTGAGAATTGTTTATTGTTATTTGAGAGCACTTTGCTAAGGAGGAAAAAAAATGAGTTTGCGTTTGCTAAGAATTGTAATAACAGTATTCAATTGTGAAAAAAAAAAACAGGCCTTCCTAATGCAAGGCACCGTCTTTTTTTTCGTCTTCTCCATGTTGCTGGTTTTCTTAAGCCTGTCAAGCCCCCTTTGACAGGCTTTTTTTGCTACTGTAAAACAGCCTAACCCATCACAGAGTTCTTTCCTGCTCAGGGGTTCAGCATCGGCGCACGGAATCCGAAGGATCTGGGGCTCAGTTTACATGTAATTAGATATCATCTTTTAGTTTTTGCTACCTTGGCAAGATGGTACTTTTCCGCTCCATTCCCCATTCTCACAGACAATTTCTTCTTCACCGACAAGTATGTATGATGAGTCACACTGGAATTTGTATCGATCGCCTGCTTTGTTTCCCTGTCCAGTGAAGTGCCCGTTTTCAAATAATGTAGAAAACTGCTCGCACCCTTTCCGTTCGTTCATTCCCAGGTTTGGCGAAGCTGTTGAACAAAGTATATTGAGGTTGGTATCTAATTGACAAATTAAGATGCGTTTCACTAAAAGACACCACTTTTCAGCCTTTGATATAGCTCAAGTCTTTCACATATATTCATCAATTTACTAACCTTTTGAGCAGGTTGGTTTGGATCCATCCCAGACTCCTCCATGGCAAGAAATTTTGTCTCCTCCAATCATTATGTAACCGTGGTTACACGTAAAATTGTATGTCACGTGATCTTCTAAGACTTCCCTTCGTACAGACCCACCACCAAGGCGCAATACAACGTTACATCCTACAAAGGAAAGATTTAAGTCAAACTTATATCGCTGCTGCTTAGTTTCCAAGGAAAGTTCCCACTTTGGCTTACTAGGCCATGTGGCGTGCTAATAGCCATACATGTTTCTAATGAGACAGTATAGTACGACAGGTGTACTGAGATTGAAAACTTTGCCTTCTTCGTGAAATGTGACGTTGAACTAAAAAAGAAGGAACATGAGTTTGATTTAATTTCATGCTCGCTTTTGTCTCGCCTTCATCATGTAGATCCCTTGTCATGCCTGTCAACCATTCTTGGAACTCCTTGGTAGCTTGGCCGATTCCAAATCTCCCTGTTATTGCGATGTCAAATATGCATTGAAACGAGTGTTCACACGTGTTGAGCGCTCTCTTTTTCATGCCACTGTTCATCTTGGATGTTATTGGATCGTACCCTTCCATAAACGTTGGGATATATGATGGATCGAAAAAGTCCATATGAGCCTCCTCTGGACCGTAGATAAACAGAGAATTGTTTTCGTTCGTCAACCCTAGATGAGCGCATGAAGAAAAAAAAAAAGAGAATTGATATATCATCCTGAACAATCTTTTTTTTTTTTGTTACTCCTTGCTAAGCTTTGTTTACACACTTAAAGTTGTAGTTTCCCTAAACTTTCGAAATGTTTTGAAGCCAGCGCAACTGTTGATTAATCCGTTGTGAAACATTAAAAACTACTGGTTAAGAGAGACATACATTGCTGACCAAATTTGTAGTGTAACTCGGACATGGTTGTCGCGGTGTTGAGGAATTCGCGGTTAGGTAGAAAGTACTCCTTATCACTATTGTCGTCCCAATAACCAAGAAGACCGCTTGTTTTACCTGTAAGAATGCAACAGTGCAGATTTAGACTACGAAACATCAAACGGTTACTATAAAAGAAAGCGGTTCCTCTTGAAAAATAAGCAAAATTCTAGGTATTCAATGATGCTGCTTTGGTTTAAAGATTTAATGAATATAACAGAGAAGCTACAGTTCATAGACCCAACGTTTCGACACTCCTGTCTAGAGCCTTAGTCAGGGGTGATCTAATCGTTGCAATAAGAGGCTAAGTGCTTTTTTTTGCTCACTAATTAGCTGCCTTTTTTTCTGACGAGGTGTAAATAGGCGTAAGGTAGTAAACCGTGATCACCACGATTTAAGGGAGCATGGGCGAAGATGACATTCTACGCTTTTAAACAAAGGTGCTGGTGGTAACGTCGATTAGTGGTGATAATTTAAACAATAATTATACAATTGGGTGGAGTAATTCTGAAATTATCACCATCCACATCGTTCAGCCGTAAACGGAGGTCCAAATCCAGCCCTTCTCTGGAGAAGCACTTCGAGCAGAAAAGTTATTTAGTAATTTACTCAAGTTATTTACTCAAGTTATTTAGTAATTTAGTTATTTAGTAATTTAGTTATTTAGTAATTTAGTTATTTAGTAATTTAGTTATTTAGTAATTTAGTTATTTAGTAATTTAGTTATTTAGTAATTTAGTTATTTAGTAATTTAGTTATTTA